AAACAATTTAAAATCAATAAAAATTTGAAATAACTAGCACATTTTTTAAATATATATTTTACATTAATTAAATTATTTTTCAAAAAAGCATAAGATCATGCCCTCTACAAATGAATTTTTTAAACAAACTATAATCTCTCATATTTGTAATGCAATTTGTTCAATGAAACTGCTTATTTAGCTCTAAAAATATTATTTTATAGTAGCGTATAAAAATAAAAAAAATAAAAAATGTATATATGCGAGGTGGGTTAGGTACTCGCGAATTTTTAATTATATGAATTTAATCTGTCTTGCATCTAAACAGATGCCTCTTTTGATCTAATCAAATAATACAAATTAGGTATCCTAACTATCGGATCTAATCGGATAGTATATGATGGATTTTCGAGTTATCGGGTATTTTTGCCCACCCTTAGATTACAGGAGAAATTAATGCAACGCAATAGATGATACCATCCTTTGCCGAAGGGATAGAGAGAAAGATGGGACAGTTTTGTCCACCGAAAGCCACCATAGATTGTTTCCTTCCGTGGAATCCAATTCAAGTTTTAAAGGGGAATTCTTCTTTTCGGTCCTAAACATTTACACTAAAATCAATTTGAAATAGGTTACTTCCCAGCCAAACATGTCAGTTTTAAATATTAAAAATAAAATAATTAGTGGATGTGATGAAGTGGATAGAATTTGTGAGAAATGAAAAGAAATTTTAAAAAAAAAAGATAAAAAAAATAAAGAGTGGTAGAGTAAATGATATGAACTATTGAGATTAGCCTAGTGGTTAGAAGAGGATTGCTAAAGTCTTTTCCACTGTCGCATTCAAAATTCGAATGTTGTACCTGGTAGTTGAAAATGGAAAGAGTGTCGCTAGGGGTGGAAGAGTGTAAAAAAAAGTTAATTTAATAAAATGAAATTAGTGGCAACAAATGTTGGAACTGGAAAAGGTAACGGGAGTTAAGGGTAGGTAGATAAATTTTAACTTTTGACACAAAAAATATATAATGATCCGCCTAACTCAAATTATTAGTAGATGACTAAAAAATTATAGGTTGAAATTTGGGTATTGGTTACCCTAAACAACTACATATCCTACAAATATGCAGGCAGATTTGGATAACGGGCAGTTTTTTAAAACCAAAAACCATGCCCTAACTTAATTGTTTAAACAAGTTCAGGTAATCTAATTATTTAAAAATTATATATTAGTTGCCTTATTTTTCGATTTGGATCAATTCAATTTCTCAATAATCCGACTTTTCGATTCTTTTTGAACACCCCTACTTACAGAACTCATTGATTGATATTGTCCCATTCCATCCAAGTCCACATAAATCCAATGCTCCAATTTGCTAAGCTTTCGCAACATGAAAACACCAAAATTATACTCGTTACAACCAAATTCTCGTTTAAAACCGAGCAAGAAGTCTAGGTTCTATCTCAGTGCAGACCATATCTCATGGATTTGCTGACGGAGCAAATGGAGTTGCAGCAAAAATATACTTGGTTGTGGCAAGAATAAATTTTCACAAATTCACCTTCCCCTTCAAATACGGTATTAGATCTAAGAAACTTAACTTCCAAATTCGAGGCCACATTAGATATATCTATATATATATATATATATATATATATATATATATATATATATATATATATATATATATATATATATTTATATATTTCAGTGGACGATTAGAGCCAATTCTTAAACATGTATTCTTGATTATAAATTTTTCTAGAGCATTGGTTAGTACATTTAAATTATACAGAATTTATTATATAAATACACACAACCGCATCCGTTGCACCCGCTACATTTGAATATTTTTTCTCAAATTAATTTAATTTTACCAAAAAATTGGGCCTGTTTGGAAGTCAGGTTTTTGGACAAGTTTTTACTTACTAGTTTTTTAACAACTTTTGCTACAGGAACCCCAAAAAATTTCTCAAAGTTTTTTACCTACACACTTAAAATATCAAAAAAAAAAACAAAATCCCTTCCCCTTCTCTTCTTCTTCTTCCTTCCCCACCCCAACCCACCACCACCTTTGTCGCCGGCCACCTCCTCTGCCGCCGGTTCCGCGCGTCAATCACCTCTTCCGGTGCCGGTCTTCTTTTTTTTGCCCTTTTTCCCTCTCCCTCTCTTCCTCCCCTACCATCCTCCCCTCTGTCTTTTTTTTTTTCTCTCTGCATCTCCTCCACTCCTCCCCCACCACCCTTCCCCTTCCCCTCTGGCCGATCTGGTCGCTAGACCAAATCGCACGGGGAGAGTGAGGGTGGCGGGAGAAGGGGAGGAGGGGGGAGAAGGAAAATTGCCCAAAAAAAAAATTTTCATTTCACTGTTTCATCTGCCGACAAGAGCAAGGAGAGGAGACGAGAGGAGAGGGAGAGGGAAAATGTAAAACAAAAGAAAGGGGCAGAGGGAAGGTGAGAAGCGAGAAGGGGAACAGGGGAGGGGGAAGGGGCAGAGAGGGTGGTGGGAGAGAGGGGTGGTGGGACAGAGAAGGGTGGCGGGGGAGAGGAGTGGCAGGGAAGAGGGGAGGAAAGGGATGGTAGGCATAGAGGGGGTGGCCAAGGGGTGGGCGGGGGAGGGAGTGGGAGGAGTGGCGGGCCAAGGGGAGTGGTGGGCAGAGGGGGAGGAATGGGGAAGGGGGGCGGCGGGGGAGAGAGGAGGAAAGGGTAGCAGAGGAGAGAGAGAAGGGGGCAGAGGAGAAAAGAAAAAAAAAAAGAAGAGAGGTGGTGCTGACGGAAGTACTGGACATGGGAGGCAGAGGTAACGGGAAGGGGGGGGGGGAAGGAAAAAGAAGAAGAAGAAGAGAGGAAAGAAAAGAAAAAAGAAAGAAAGAAAAAGAAAAAGAAAGAGAAAGATAAAAAGAAAGAAAAAGAGAAAAAGAAAGAAAAAAAAGAAAAGGAAAAAAAATTTTCACCATACAAAAACTTCTACAAAATTTTTCACATTATAAAAATTTCTATAAAAAGTTTTCACCATGCAAAACTTCTACAAAAATTTTTCAAAAACTTCTATAATATACTATAATAAAATTTTAAATAAACCCCTAAAAAACTCAAATTTCAAACATGCCCATTAATATATAAAATTCTCTTAATGAGTGCCGTCCAGACACCGTTAATCAAACCCTTAATCATTTTGCTGATTGCTGAGGCACGAAGTAGTAGTAAGCTCAACTTGCGCATGCAATGACGTTTGCAGTCAACATCAGCAACAATCATTACGTGTGGATATGCAGTATATATGGTCACAATCACATTGATGTAACTGTTAGTGGTCAGCTAAAAAAGTACGAAGGGATGATGGCCAATGTAGAAAAATTTGTTGTTCAAAAAATGAAGAATCCAGATAGGGCCGGTAATGTATTTTGACATATTATTATATATATTTTTTTACATAAAAGAAAGTATTTTCGCATATAGTCTAATGTAAAACCTGCCCGTGTTTTGGATGTTTGGTTCTTTAAATTGTTGTTGAATGAGAATTGGCAAGAGAAATAGAAAAAATAAAAAAATAAAAAAAGATTTTTTCCCCTTATGAGCTCTTGTTAGATGAGAAAAAAGGGAACCAATTGAAGTGCACAACTTAAAATCACGAATCTTGAATTTGTGGCAGTTTTTGAAAAAAGTTTCCTAAAATAAATACTTGTAAAAAACCAGTCATGTAATTGTAAAAAAAAAAAAATTATTCTTACTAAAACGAGTCTCATGGCGTTCCTTTTTCTTCACAAAATAAAAAACAAAATTGTCAAGCTTTTGAACACCTAGTGAATTGATTTCCTTAGTGTAAATCATCGTTAATTAGATTTCATTCTATTCTAGAAGTTATTTGTGATAATAATTTTGCACGCCAATTATGAAAGGGGCAGTTTAAACCACAAAGAAAGCTATTGTAACCCTCTCTCAAGCCAATTCTCTTACGCCAACGTTACAATTATAAGGTATGTTCAAAGTTTTTGTCCTTACATTACAAAGGACCCTACATAGCAGCCGTGTGTGAAGCAAAGTAGAAAGAGCAATTCAAGTGAAATAAGTAACATGTTTTTGTATCTATCAGGCAGTAGGGTCGAGGTTTGAGGAATGCTAACATTATGTAATGGTTTGTAAATGCATGTGTGTGTACATTCATTTAGTAACTTTTTGTTTAAATTAGGTGCACTAACAAGTATCCAATTATATCGTTAGAAAAAGGGTAAATTACATTTTATCTTCCTGTAATTTATCTTTTTTACAAAATTTTTCTATGATTTCAAAAATTATACATAACTCCCTCATGATTTGGATTAAAGTATCAAAGTGACGGAAATAGTCACTCGTAACGAAACTTATAAAAATGTCGAATTACCCTTATAAATATATGACATATTAATCCCGTATGATTTTTATATTTTATCATATAACCCTCTTATGGTTTAATACTTTACCATATAACCCCCTTATAATTTTTAAAATATACACATAACCCCCTTGGTTAATACATAATTTTCTATTTTACATAAAGGTAATTTTGGCATTTTAGGTGACGCCTTTACGAGTGACTATTTCCGTCACTTTGACGCTTTAATCCGAACCATAAGGGGGTTATGTATAATTTTTGAAACTATAGAGGGATTATGTAAAAAAGAGGTAAATCACAAGGGGTAAAATATAATTTACCCTTAGAAAAACTCAAATTTTTGTAATTTCGTTTGACCATGCATCTAACCTGTTTTATTGACTTAAAATTTTTAACACTGACAAGCACTCGTAGGAACACTGACTAATCCAAAATTGAGCACTGTTAGACACCTTTTTGAAGGCTGGCTCGAAAGTTATTTTTTCCATCCACAGAACTCAAAATCCAAAGTCTTATTTAATGGGTATCAAACTCCTCATCACTTGACCAAACAATCGTTTGTGGAGCAAAGAATTTATTGTTAAGGTTTAAAGTGGTAATGTGTAATTATTCCTAAGCACAGGGGAGCAAGTGTGATTCAATCATATCATTGCACTCTAGCCACAAACTATTCCTATATCCGTTTAGCCACATTATTTGAGCTCATGGACAGCTATACGTACTCGTCACTCCAGCAACAACCACCATTATTTGAGCTCTCGAAGATTGTGAATTTCTAGAGAATCCATACCGTGGTCCCGTGGTTAGTGCAAATGGAAACTCACAAAGCTCATTGCTTGATATTTCCATGTGCCGCACAAGGACATATAAACCCTATGCTCCAGTTTGCCAAGCGTTTGCAACATCAAGGCACCAAAATCACCCTTGCGACAACTAAATTCTTCTTCAAAACCTTGCAAGACGTCTCGGGGTCAATCGCAGTGGAGACCATCTCTGATGGATATGATGAAGGAGCAAATGAAGTGCCCCTTGATACATATAATGCTGTGTTTCAAAAGGTTGGCTCAGAAAATCTTACTGAGCTAATCTTGAAGCTTAAAGATCTGGGTTGTCCTGTTGATTGTATTGTTTATGATGCACTCGTTTATTGGGCTTTGGATGTGGCCAAAAGTCTCGGCTTACGTGCTGCTGCGTTCTTCACTCAATCTTGTGCTGTCTACAAGATCTACTACCATGTCTACGCAGGCCTTTTGAAACTTCCTCTGGAGGAGTCTAAAGTGGAAATTCCCGGCTTACCACCACTTTTGGCTTCAGATCTGCCTTCTTTTTTTTCTAATTACGGTTCATATCCGCCAATTTTTCAGATGGTTGCATATGACCAAATGAAGAACATCCATGAAGCTGACTGGATCTTCTGCAACACATTTTACAAGTTGGAGGAGGAGGTAAAAGAACACTGGATCTATCCCTATGTTACCTGTATATTACTGTTTCCAATATATTTGAATGTGCCTACGTTCTGATTGGATGGTCTTGTAACCACATTTTGACTCCCTTAACATTAGGCCATATTACTTCTATGAGTATCATGCGATTTACACGGAAACCACACTAGTACACTGATCACATGACTAGAGTGACATCCACTACTGAAAACAAAATATAGGAGTATTACAATTTTTCTCCCTACCTCATATTTCTTTTCCTTTTTTTTTCATTTAGTGAGGAATGCGTATAGACTAAAAACTAGATGTTTGGTCAATTTGTTTCATATATTGCGTAGGTGATTGACTGCACATCCAAGATCCTACCAATAAAGACGATTGGACCAACTATTCCATCTATGTACCTTGACAAGCGCCTTCAAGATGACAAGCAGTATGGTCTCAGTCGTTTTATGCCAATGACTAATGATTGCATGCCATGGCTAAACGAAAGATCAACCAGTTCAGTTGTTTATGTATCATTTGGAAGTTTGGCAGAACTTGATGCTGAGCAGATGGAAGAAGTAGCCCAGGGCTTGAGAACTAGCAATTACTATTTTCTATGGGTGGTTAGAGAATCAGAATCAAATAAGCTGCCAAAAGATTTTGTTAAAGAAACATCTGATAGAGGATTATTCATTTCATGGTGCCCTCAGCTTGAAGTTTTAGCCCACAAATCTATAGGGTGCTTTATCACTCATTGTGGATGGAATTCAACATTGGAGGCCTTAAGTTTGGGGGTCCCAATGATAGGTATGCCACAATGGATCGATCAAAGTACAAACGCCAAGTTTGTAATGGACATCTGGAAAACGGGAATCAAAGCTCAGCCAGATGAAACTGGAATTGTTAGAAGAGATGTCATTCATGAATGCATAAGCGTAGTGATGGAGGGGGAGAAAGGACAAGAGATTAGGAAAAACGCAGATAACTGGAAGGATTTGGCAAGGAAGGCTTTTGATGACGGGGAAGTTCAGATAAAAACATTAAAGACTTTGTATCCGAATTGATTCAGTCTTGAAGAGATAATAAAGTTGATCTGTCTTATCCAAATTGATTCAGACTTGAAGAGATAATAAAGTAGATTTGTCTTCTTCAATGATAATCAAAGGCAACCAGGTGACTGTCACATGAATTTTTGACGAAAAGTAACCACACATTTGTCTGGATCCACTAGCAACTGCAGTAGAAACGTGGTATTCCTGGTGCCATTAATATCTAGAAAGTAGACTATAGCATAGAGGATATAGCACACACTGTCCCAAGTAGTGCACGCAAGTTCAATTCAATGTGAATACTAGAGTTTGCAATCCTCTAAGGTAGAACCACTGAATTCTATAAAATTTATTTTGACGTGTAGGGTACCGAATAACCTATCTCAATTTGTATGCCCTGGTAGATGAAATATGAGGCTTCAAGTTCTAATAGACTTTGAAATTAGTTATGCAGAACAAAAGATCATGAGGTCTTCTGCTATTATTAAAGAAACAGTTTTCAAGCATGAACCATCATGACAATGTGGATGAGTATTCTCACCATTCATTGCTTCAAACATGGTTAGTAATATCAGTCGATTCTGATATGTCTCAATTGAGTTGTAATCAGAATGAAGGGATCGGTATGATACTGATCTCTGAATTATGGATAATATTATATTCGCGGTAACTCGTTCTGACTCAACCAATATTAATCAATTTAAATTCGTGATATATTGTGTTGGCCGATATATTCGAGTCAACTTGGATTCAATTTCAATTTTTTTTCAAATTGTATTTTTTGTATATATTTTATAATTTTAGTAATTTTTTCAAATTTTTTTAAAAATTTTTATGTGCTATAATATATGTATCACCTAATATGCAAACGATATAGTGCGGTGAACGTGGAACAACTATGACTGCAGCGCAACCGCGACCAACGACGGGAACCACGCTCTCCAAATGACAAAAACAAATAATTCTCAAAGAACAAAAGTTCCTTCTCTACATCTATAGTCATCTTATACTGATGAGTACTTTCTCTGCTTGCTGCAGTCTCTGTAAAGCTCCTCTGGATGCGTTTAGCATACTCACATGAAGAGTTTTCAAGATACAAAGCTCTTTAGATGTGTTTCGCATACTCATGTGAAGCCTTTTCAAGCTACAAAGTTACTGCCTTTGGCAGGACTACTGTCTACATTCCTTTAACTAGCACGGTAACAAGGGAATGATGGGGTGTTAATTATTGATTATTTTATTATTAATTTTTTTCTTATTTCAGAAAAATACTGTTTTAATTATTAATATTTACTTATATTTGATATTTAAATTTAATTTCAGAGAATAGAGCAAAAAATTACAAAAAAAAGAGACTTTTTAAAGCAAATTACTTCATACATGGGAGTAGGGCTGCAAACGAGCCGAGCCGAGTCGAGATTTGAGCTAATCGAGCCGAGCCTCGACTAAATTTTACCAAGCTCGAGCTCGAGCTCGAGCTCGACGAGCTGGCAATTTTCGAGCTCGAGCTCGACTCGAATCAAGTCGAGCCGAGCTCGAGCTCGAAAAAAAATAAAAAAATTATTTTATTTTTAAAAAAATAAAAAAAAAATAATATTTTTTTCTGAATAAATAATAAAATATTAAGGATATATACGTAATTTCGCTATGAAAATAAAAAATTAAAATATATTTATATATAATATACGTAATTTTATTATTAAATAAAAATAAAAAATATATATATAAATATATATACTCAAGCTCGCGAGCCGGCTCGCGAGCTAACGAGCTTAATAATCTGAGCTCGAGTTCGAGCTCGAGGTTGACTCGAGCTGGCTCGAGCTCGATTAATCTCGAGCTCGACTCGAGCTTGACTCGAGCCGCTCGCGAGCGGCTCGCGAGCGGCTCGATTCGTTTGCAGCCCTACATGGGAGTCTACTGCAAAGCTCAATCAACGTAGCCCACGAGAGGGGACCAAAGCTGATTTCCTTTCCTTTTTTGGGGCTGATGAAGAGATGGCAGGGACGGAGAGTCCAAGGAGCAATAGGAAACAATAAGCAATTCGGCAGGGCCCATTTTTTTGTATTCTTTTCTCTTAATTCGGCAGGGCTTTCTGCGGGTTGTTGGGACTAGGGCTGCAAACGAATCGAGCCGCTCGCGAGCGGCTCGAGTCAAGCTCGAGTCGAGCTCGAGCCGGCTCGAGTCAAACTCGAACTCGAGCTCGAGTTCAGAATATTAAGCTCGTTAGCTCGCGAGCCGACTCGCGAGTTTGGGTATATATATATATATATATATATATATATATTTTTTTTTTTTGTTTTTATAATAATAAAATTACGTATATTATATTTATTTTTTTTATTTTTTATTTTCATAGTAAAATTACGTATATGCCCTTAATATTTTATTATTTATTAAGAAAAAAATATTATTTTATTTATTTTCTTTTAAATAAAATATTTATTTTTTATTTTTTTTCGAGAGCTCGGCTCGACTTGATTCGAGTCGAGCTCGAGCTCGAAATTTGCCGGCTCGTCGAGCTCGCGAGCTCGAGTTCGAGCTTGGTAAAATTTAGTCGAGGCTCGGCTCGATTAGCTCAAAACTCGACTCGGCTCGACTCGTTTGCAGCCCTAGTTGGGACTCTAATTTCGGGGAGGGGGACCACCACTAGATAGGATTAGTCATTTTCTTTTGGCTGAAGAGGAAAAAATCGTACGGGGGCAGGGACATCTCTAAAGCAATAGTTTTAGTTTCTTTTCTTCTACTTGGCATGCGTGCCTTCTGTTCGATGTAATTCCAGACTAGAAAAATAACTTTTACCTCTTGCTTTCTAGTGACAAACGCGATGCTTTTACAGTCAATTAATTTACGTGAAGATTTATTTATGCAACGTGGCTAAATCCTTCATTTAATCAAAGATCAATTCGACGGCGCAATTTCGAATATCTGTGAGATCTAATTAGTTTTTACGCGTTCCTTAATTTATTAATATTTACACGTTGTTTATTTGAATTTTCATGAAATTATTTTGTTAATTGGATGTCAAGGGCCAGATGTTTAATGTGACTTATTAATCTCCTGCCAAATTAGTCAAGTAAATCCGTAATTGTTTGATTGATTAATATTAGTGGCAACTGGCGTGTTTGCACCCTAGGAAAACGTGCGATCTAATTTAAATAACCCTCATAGCGTGTTATTGATTGGGATTAGGTTTTTCTAGTTCTTAATGTAATTGAAAAATTAATTCCTACAGTCGTACCTAAGAGTATTTTCTGGTTAGGGGTAATCAATGGTCGTACCTTGGTTATTAATAAATTAAGAAAAAATTGGTCGTTAGAGTTCGTCGGGGACTATAACTAACTTATTAATAAATTAAGTGAATCTCCCTTGCATCAATGATCGGGTGAGTGGACTGTGTCTGAATGTATCTTTGGTTAGAATTTATCTATTCTTGATTTAATTCCTGCTATATTCGTGCTAGTTAGTTATTTATTTTTAGTTGAATTGTTTAATTGTTTTTAGTTTCATTCCAGTGAAATCCCCCTTTACTAATTGGAATTTAAAAGAGACAAATATCTCCAGTCCCAGAGGAGACGACCCTACTTGCCACTGTCTACTATTTAGTAATTTTTGTCAACTAATTAATTCTGATATATCGGATTAAGCAAACTCTTCGGAAACAGAATGAATCAAGTAACCCATTGTACATCTAGAGTCTTTACTCCAGTACTTAGGATTAATTATTGACTGCTTTTAGTGATAGGTAGATTCTATTTTTATTATTGTACGGGCTTAACACTTGGGAAAAAAAATATGCTAATCTTATAAAGGGAGCCAGACAAGCTCATTAATCATCAAAGAAATCGCAACGTCAATTAGTCATCACAGAACAAGATTTCATCAAGAAACACCATCATCCCCCAAACAAAAATCAGAAGCAGTAAAAACTATGTGAGAGAGTTAAACTAGTGTTACTGACAGATTTTTGTCACCTCAGTATTTCCGAGTCCTTAATCCAATCCAATTCTCTTTGGATCTCAATGTGACAGTTCATGGAACATTGTTCTGAATGACAATATGCTGTCGCAACCTTCAGAGAATTTAAGGGCTCTATAGCTCTATAGAGAGTCATCTTCTTCAAAGATTTTCCATGCTGCAGAAAGTACCCTACTAGCTTAACTTCATATTTCTTCCCTTTAAATTTTGTGATTTCAATCTGCCTAAGATGCTCAACAATGTGTACTGGGAAAACCGTTGAAAAGCAGATCAAGTCCTTATATGTACAAAAGTCCTCCTTACACACCTGTACATATCGAGAACATCAGATGCAGCGGAACATAACTAATTGACTCTGTGACAAAAATGTTTACTGCAGCTCACTCTGTTAAGGACTAGCACTTCAAGATTGGCGGCGTTGTCAAATAAGCATGACAACCACATTGCTATAAAATACAAGTCTCCTAAGCAGATTCCTTAGATTATCGTTGTTTTGAAAAATAAAATCGGTCCAATATGGTTGCCTTGAATTGTTGTCTTAATCTATGCACATCGTGTTTACTTGGCACGACGGGTCAAGCAGAAATTTTTTTTTTAAATTTTTTAAACCCAAAGGGCCGTCGCACCGACAAAAGTAAAGCAATGCCCATCGCGTCGCACCACACCATGCTGCCGCAACAGGCCTGACAGGATTTTTTTTCCCCCAAAACGTGTTTAGCTAGCGTGACGAGCGTGACGGATTTTTAAAAAAATAAAGAGAAACCTTTTTTGGGTTTATTAAGTTTTAGCAGGTTAGGATTTACAATTTATTATAGTCATCTATAACATACTTAAATACTCAATCAACCGTAATTGTATTAAAAAAATTAGAGTTAAATACCAAAAACCCCCATATTCACTTTACCTCCCTATGATTTAGAAATCTACAATTTGACTCCCTGTAGTTTCAACTAAAGTAAAAGTCTAACAGAAAACATCTAAACTAACGTCTGAAAGGAAAATGTCAAAATTGCCCCTCTATAAGGGTTTTGGGTTAAGCACCAAAAATTCCCCTGTGATTTGTCAAATGTACACTTTACCTCCTTATGGTTTTAAAACATACAATTTAACTCCCTGTCGTATCGCCTAAAGTGAAAATCCAACAGAAATTCTGTTAAATACACTTTAGTTGAAACGACAGGGAGTCAAATTGTAGGTTTCCAAACTATAGGGAGATAAAGTGAACATTAGGCAAACCACAGGGAGGTTTTTGGTATTTAACCCAAAAATTACTACATGAATTGCGGTTTTTATATTTAAAAAATTATATAAAATGCATACATGGTAAATGTACTCTTATATGTCATTATTTGGCATACCATACTTATACTAAACGATTATATTAATTAAAGCGGTTATAGATTTACTTATACCTCTATATCTATCAAATTAAGAAACCCTTTTATCCAATTGTAGTGTTTCATCAAATAACTTGCACTTTTGTATTTTGAAAGTATTTAACATTATTCAACTTCAAAACGGTTAGATTAAACAAAAAAAAAGTAAAATAGTAAATATATGTCAAGATGG